TAGCTGTATATAATCGTAGTCTAGACCATGATACAATATTCTGGTTACAAAGAAATCTTTATGTACCTCAGCATTTTCTTTTGTTAATACTTTTAAAATGTTTTTTTCTTCATGTTAGCACTTAAAGAATCGATCAATAATTTCAGCAATGAGTTTTCCAGAGTCAACTTTAAAACTGAATTAAGCAACATTAATAGAACATTGTCTCTGTAACTTTTAGTTGCAAACAAGATATGTTTTTATTCGTTAAATGAAAAGAAATATGTTGTTTCTTCAATTCACATTGAAATTATCCATGTCGAAATTCAGTGACTTGGTCCCTATGCTATCAGATCTCAATATATATTACATAACCGAAAACAGAAAACAAACACCAATATTCAAATCAAATAATTGTAACATTGGATGTACAAATCAAGCTGTTATAAATCTGCATGTCACTGATAATCGATACCTGCCAACCTCGTCTGACTTCCCGGAAATGTGAGCCGATTAGGTTTGTGCAAGGCGTAGTTCAATGGTTCTTGCAACCAACGTTGAATATCGTGCAGACCATCATCAGTTTCTGAGCCTGATTACTTGCTTAGCGATGCAATATTTTAATGATAGTCAAGTGTGTCTTATTTTGATGAATAAAGCCATCTTTAAGGATCATAGGTTGTTGCAATAAAAATGATTGTTTTGTAGTGATGATTTACTTGTCCGACGAGCAATGGCCGTGGACGATGCAGCTGCCATCATGCATCGACCGCTGTGAGATATCTATTCAGGACTGATTTAGATGGTGGATTTTAGAAAATCATCCAGATCTTACGTTTCTCTCTTTCTCTTTCCTTGTAATGGTAATGTCTATCGTCATCCCCGTTACTGCTCGTTTTGTTCTTTCTATATTCATCCTGCTCCATGCTATTGAGAGACTGAGATTTAATTCGATCGTCTCGTCTAAAATCTTCAACTGAAAGACATTGCAATCAATGTGTCCGAACCATTGCGACAAGTCTGAGCAATCCATCAAAGTTTGTAACTCTTGCTCTAATTAAGCCAGCTCAGTGATATTAAAACTGGGTGGTGCTTTTGTACCAGATGTGGAGGTTCATTCACCGTTTATAAGAGACAATACGTTAATTCGCATCCTTCCACAGAGCCAGGTTGTACCGTTTTGATGTCCTTCGAGCAGGCATTCTTATTGTCGTTTTAAAGCAGTTTAAAACTCCTACTAAAAGACGACTCTCTACTCCTTTAACTACTAACTGAGGATTTCTTCATAATAGAAGACATCATCTCTTTTTTGAATAGTTTTTACGTATAGGCTATTGGAGTTTTCCATTACACTATGCTCGAAAAGTCTTCAATGACTCTAGGGAATATTTTCAAAAAATATTCACATTCAGGATCGATGGATTCTTTGGGAGGTTATTGAATGATCCACATTTCGCATCGATGTATTCAATTTGATTAATGCCGACAATACCTTAATGTTTGGCTAAACGATGAGTTCAACAGGTTCCCAAAACAAGTCACAATACTTTTTTATATAAGAATTCATATTACCTTTCTGTTTGTACCTCATGTATGCTTTACTTAGGCGCTGTACGATGAAAATGGTGCCTTTTGAACGAGCGAGTGAGCTATTTTCTTTGTATGATAAGGCTTTTTACAAGCCGGTTTGTCTTCAAGTTTATTTTTAGAGTACACCTTTCACACACACAAACACACATAGGTCTGTTGGCAAGTTGAAAGAGGCAATCAGAGACGCAAGCCGTATGAGGAATTTCTAGGGGAGTTGGGCGCTTGCCTCCCATTCCTACCCCGGCATTGTCAGCCTTAGACCACTATCGTCACTGGAGATGCAAGAGGCATGTACGAGGGCATCAAAAAGGGCATCAAGACCGCCCACATCAAGTCCAAGACGGGAGTAATTATTACTAAAAGACGACTCTCTACTGCTCCTAACTACTAACTGAGGATTTTTTCATAGTAGAAGACATCCTCTATTTTGAACAGATTTTACGTATAGGCAACTGGAGTTTGCCATTACACTATGCTCGAAAAGTCTTCAATGACTCTAACGAATATTTTCAAAAAATATTCACATTCAGGATCGATGGATTCTTTGGGAGGTTATTGAATGATCCACATTTCGCATCGATGTATTCAATTTGATTAATGCCGACAATACCCTAATGTCTGGCTAAACGATGAGTTTAACAGGTTCCCAAAACATATTATTATTATACTTTCGATGATAATGATGTTGTAAACTCTTTAGGCATGCAAGTCACAATACCTAATTTTATAGAAGACTTGGTATTTCTTTGCTGCTTGTACCTCATGTGTGCTTTGCTTGGGCACTGGACGAGGAAAATAGTGTCTTTTCAACGAACGAGTGAGCTATTTTCTTTGAATGATAAAGCTTTTTACAGGCCAATATGTATTTAACTTAATTTTTGGACTTTATATATATATATATATATATATATATATATATATATATATATATATATATATATATATATATATATATATATATATACATATATATATATATATATATATATATATATATATATATATATATATATATATATATATATATATATATATAGATGCAATAAACTGACTATTTTAATTAATCCCTGACACACGTGATCCCTTGGTGGATCCAGTACGCTTGAAAGGGTTGTTATTCGCCATATGATTTGTATTCTTTATAAGAATATTATTATTTGAACTAAGATGTAAGTAAGAATTGATTCATCTCTTTAAGGATTGGACATATTTTCCACACTCAAGAAAATAGGTCTGTTGGCAAGTTTATAACTCGTTTGAACAAGTTTTGACGTATTTTGAAGGAATTCTGATCTGGTGTAAATGACTATTCCTTCACGTTTTAATAACTTCATAAGACGTCTGCACCAACTTTAGAAATTGTTGGAATTAATTTGAAACATGTTTGAACGATAAACGTACTTTAAATGCCCAAAATTGTTTTCAACGAGTTTAATCTTTCTTGAATGACGTGAGAAACCTGTTTGAATGAGCTGAAAAAGTAACTTATGTTTCTTTAAGTGCCATTTAAAACTGAAGCATTTGTTGGATGTGAACAAAATTGCTAATTATGACAAATATAAGAAAGTATGACAAAAACAACAATGCGCCAGACAAATTTGTGCATTTCATTAGTGATGATGCCATCGAAACTTGAATTAAGAAATGTTATTCCCAGTGTGTTGAAGTCAATCACATATTTGATATTTGTCCCCAAAGTTATGCATGTTCCTCCTCCTTCAGCTGCTACTGCAAGAAAGTTGGCGTGTTACAAGCTTTATGATTCTGAAATCAGAGAAGGATAGTTCCTTCTATATCATCTCAAGACATTGTTTTACTCGCTTTTAGTCTGTTGAAAACAATTTTGTACTCAACCATCTTCCCAAATGTGCATAGTATGATGCCTTAACAACAGATCGATACGAGTGTCTATATAACTTTTTGGACAGGTGTCCAATGGGCTGTTGTCATTAATAGATTGGAAAGCATTTCTTTAACAAATCATCACTAATGGAAAACAGAATCTGTGTGTGTGTGTGTGTGTTTGTGTTTACCTGTCTTCTTCACTAGCTGAAAACTATATATTGACAATCAATAAAAAAGTGATATTCATCTGCCAGACAAAAAAAGACCCACTGAGTGATCAACAGGTGTAGGTAGTCGTCTGCAACATCTACCAAGTTCTTTATGCAGATTATGTTATATTGTCAATATTTAAATTTCTGTATTGAAACGATCCCAAATGTATAGTTATATCTAATATATCCAGACCAATTTAGACATTGCCTCGATCTTGTGGATTCCTGTGCCAAAGAATGTTTGTTATCTTAGAAGTTTATCTTTCAATAAGAGTTATCACTGTATGCAAGCTTTTGAACAAATTCGTCAGATAATCGTTGTATGGCGAGTGAGAAAAATAGATTTGCATTCCTAACATATTGGCTAATCCAAGATTCTCCAAGCCATAGATCATTTTATAATTATCTTACCAGCATGTCCAACTATTCTGTGGACCATAACGTGTCACATCAGTGGACACTGAACTGCTGGCTATATCAATGTTTCCTATTATTACCTCAAATAGGTCTTGTCCAGTGCTTTAAAAGTGAAAAGTGACATAAGAAGCAACATCACTTAAGCGAGTAAAACGAGGGAAAAGAAACTATTCCATTGTGAAATTAACTCTTTATCATCGCTTTAAACTAAATGCATTTAACACAAATTGTAAAGGGACTTGTTACTCTCAGTGTATACAAATTAACTCAAGAATAAAGCCGGGGTATAATAGTTACCAAATATATCATTGTATCCAGTCTTTACCCTCCTATATCATTGTAAGAATAAACGCCCTATTAGATGCCGATAAAAGCGATGGGTGTTGACTAACGGCAAGCAATAGCGGTTCACAACAGTGGTGTGACTTTTGAAATGAATGATAAGATTCGAATTATATTCACTATGATGTCAATAACTATACAGATTCATGTTTAGATGTCTCATGTTATGTATCATGGTAATAAGGAATACACGTAGTGCAATAATAACATAGAAATATAATACAAAACATAACGGCTTTAACCGATGATCTATTTTGTCTCTTCAGTAGGTTCCATCAGTCTTATGTCAGTAACCTCTCTACTACAAAGAACGTTTCAGTTATAAATTCAGATGTACTTAGTTTTTATATGTATGAAGCAATGCACCATTTACCGATAGCGATATTTTTATTGGTTGGAAAAGTTATGAGAGATTGTATATGCACGTTAAAGGCAGAGTTCCAGTTTTAGGAGACTTTTGGCAAAAACGCGATATTTTCTTTGAGCTGAAATTCAGTGTGTACTAGTTTAACAGCATGCATCACATTATTTGGTTAATCTACCCATGTGATATCATAGTATCGCATGTCAAATAATCGACCAAACAAAGTTCGATTTGTACTTAATAATATTGTTGCTACTCTGGCACATAATGTGAATATCGGTTAGCGCGCCGTACTTATAGACAGTATTATCTCTGTGCTCGACACAAGACTAGGCGATGCGGAGGTTGTGAGTTCGATCCTCACCCGGGGCACAGTAATTTTAGCTGTATATAATTATACTTATTTTTCGTAGTGTAGACCATGATACAAGATTCTGGTTACAAAGAAATCTTTATGTACCTCAACATTTTCTTTTGTTCATACGTTTGAAATGTGTTTTCAAGTTAGCACTTAAAGAATCGATCAATAATTTCAGCAATGAGTTTTCCAGAGTCAGCTTTAAAAAAGAATTAAGCAATATGAATAGAACATTGTCTCTGTAACTTTTAGTTACAAACAATATATGTTTTTATTTGTTAAATGAAAAGGAATATGTTGTTTCTTCAATTCTGCATGTCACTGATAATCGATACCTGCCACCTTCGTCTGGCTTCTCGGAATGTAAGTCTATTAGGTTTGTGCAACGCGTAGATCAATGGTTCTTGCATCCAACGTTGAACATCGTGCAGACCAACAGTTTCTGTGCTTGATTTCTTGCGTAATGATACAATATGATAATAATAGTCAAGTGTATCTGATTTTCTTTCAATTGCCTTAGGTTGTTGTAAAAAAGTGAATGTTTGTGTGACACACTAATCAATCAGGCTTAAGACGACACATTCATGTGAGACTTCATTGGTCTCTCTAGCTCATAAATGGCTTCAAATGCATGATCAAGGTAGAATAATAGGATCTGTATTTGTAGGTTTCAGAAACGTGTTTGATATGGTGGGTCATAAAACCCTTTTTACGATATTGAAAATTCACCAATGTGATGAAAGCCTCAATTAGAAGATTTCAGTGGCATTACTATTATGATGCAGAAAGTACCAGGTGATACCATCAGAGGGTTGACATCAAAATGAATGTCTATACAAGTTTTGAATTTCTGTGCAGGAAGGAGGTCCATTGTGGTTGTATTATGACTTTTTGTCAAAGCTTTGAACTTTTATATAGGAAGAAGGTCCATAGGGGTGACACCATGAGTTATTGCACCGGGTGACACCAACCCTAATGATGCCACTTTAAGATTTACTTCAAACTTAAGTGAGAGAACATAAAATGTTTATATCAATAATGTTCAGTCTGAACCCAAAACAATTAGATATGGAGTACAACAAGGTTTAATTCTAGGTCCATTACTAATGATATTATTTATTAATGTCCTACCGCTCTTTACTAATAGATTCAATTTCATCTACAGAACTCTATGCAGATGACTCAACATTATCACACATCCAAACCACAAAGCATAAACTAGAAATTTCTTTACAGGATGTCCTAAGCAACCTGGACAGCTGATGCACATGCAATGTCATGGTGGTAAATGCTGTTAAAACTAAAATATTACTTATCTCAACACGGCAAAAGAGAGCAAATCTTGATAATGATGAACTATGTCTGGCATGGAAGGATAAAAATTTGCACATTGTATGTCATGATACACTACATGGTGTTTAGGTAGATAATAACCTATCATAGACTGGACATATCAAATATATCAGTAAAAAGGTTAATTCAAGTTTACGGGTACTCAGTAGGATAAGAGATGTTCTCTCTAAAAGGTGCAGAAAACTAATTTACAGCAGTTTCATACAACCTTATTTAGCTTACTGTAATACAGGGGATGGGTAATTACAATGATAAAAACAGCAAAACTTGCACAACTTCAAACAATAGCATTCAGGTTAATAACAATCTAGAAAAAAAACAAGGAAAATTTATTAGCTGGTAAGTTAAAAAATATTACCTATGAAGACTGAATCAGGTTGAGAAAAGCTAAAGTAATGTATCCTATAACAGTGCTCCTGAATATTTACAATCACTATTCCAGCATCGGCTACCAGTTACTACTCCCCACCTGTGATCCATGTCTAACAAACAGTATAAAATTTCCAAACCAAATAAGGATTTATTCAAAGGAAGTTTCTAGTACTCTGGAACTTTGCTCTGGAACAGTAATTCAGTTGACATTAAAAATGCCAATTATATTTCCTTCCTCAAACTCAATATATACAGTGGCTTCAGAGATGCAGCTAAAATATATAAATTCCTTTCTATGATGTCCTCAAGGTAGATCGTTTTTCAGCATATTGTAAAGTCATTATTATTATATATCATACAAGGTATGAATAATTTGACATGTATGTGCACTACTTGACAGAAAACCTCTTTATCTAAAAGGGGTATGTGTAGCAGCTGCCTATGAATGCGAAATTTGCACTTTGTACAGAAAAAATAATATTACTGGATACATTTACACAGAATTAAAACTTTGGTAGTTACTATTTCACAATTACTTCTATTTCCAAGGTGGAATTGCAAAGATCGATAATTGATGTAAATACATGATTACTGTAGATGTTGAAATGTCCTGGGTATCATGATTCTAGCTTTCAAGCCATTTGTACCACATACATAAAGGGATTCAGTATACTTAATCTTTTAAACAATTTCCGGGAGACGTAAGTGTGGAGTTAGACCAATTGAGGAAACTTGATACAGATTTTGCAGTTCCACCCCAGCCTTATCTTTAATGTATTGGAGCCAGGTTCAAGGAAGTGTGGTGGTTATCACCAAACTACCAATGCATTATTACCAGAATGGTGTGTGGAAAATGAATAGAGATGTCCAAAGGTGTTGTGAGAGACAGCTCTAAATATCACTTTTGCCGGTAATGAATATATCAACTTTAGTTTAGAATGCATACTGTGTTTTAATGCATTATTCTTAATATGCTTAAGAGTTTATTTAACGTAAGAAGTTTCAAAACTGTTATCGAGACTGCTTACCAAATTATACATCTGCTTAGATTATTTATGTGCAACCCCTGTGAATGAATATTAAAATTGTAAGCTGTCCAAAACCAGACATGCATAAGTATGCAAATGAGAAAGAATTTTGTTTACAGTTGATACTCATCGAGTAGATTGTTTTATTACCTGGTTTCAATGTTGGTACTTAACTATGCTAAACAAATATAAGCTGATGGTAATACAATGATAAAATTCTTATGTAAATAGTATCTTCATCTGCAATTAGGCATTCCTATTCGATCCTAATGCAGGAGTCTCGGACTTCTAAAAATGCTCCACAAAATAGCTATCAGTGCTCACGACAAAATAAAACCCATGTGCAGCTTTGATCCATGTGTATTTTACAGTGGAATTTGCTGATGGAAGATAAATAACATTTACATAAGTGCATGTTCCTATTATTTTTAAAAATATATTTTTTCTTAACTTTTAGAAATAGCATATTACAAATTAAAATAAGTTTTCAGGATTTTCAAGTTCTAATCCTTGATAAGGCTGTACTTGTCTTGGCTAGGATGTACAGATGGGAGGCTTTTTCGTCAATGATGAAGTTGACATGCTGAGCAAAAATAGACATGCTGCCTATAGGCAGTTCATGCTACAGCAACATGGAAAGTTGGGGCTTGGACAGAGACTTTTAATTCCCTCTTGCTGTTTTGGCGGTTACGTGATAAATATATGGATGTACAATACACTGGCTTCATCCCCTCTAGGCTTACATGAACTTATTATAAACACTTTCTTGCATGTACGAATTTGTATATAAATGAATGCAGTTGACTTCATTCTTTGTTTTGTTGCAACTTCACACAGTAGTGCATCAAACAATAATGATTTCACTCAGACTAATGTGGGCAAGAAGGTCATAAATAATGAAAAAGTTTTCAGCAACTGCACATACAGCATTATACAGTGTTTTCAACTATTGATATTTACATAATATTCTACAAAATGTAACCTGCCTTAGAAAACATCTCCATATATCAGACACTGTTTTATTTTTACATAATTAAATCGAGAGATCTTCTCCTTCACCAAAACTAGAGTTGATGCTGGTTCTTGAGGCGCCGGGTTTCTACAAATTCACCTCGGATCATCTTCCTTTAGTTCTCTTATCCCCCTCATACCCTGCTTGCCGTCAAGTTTTGATAGATGAGGACTTTCTGTATAAGCTTTATGAGGTGGGATATGTTTTCTTTTCCTTGCAATGGTAGACGAACCATCACCCGCTTTTTTGTTGTAACATCGATGATACCTATTTTAAAGAATTTAATTTTCTTAATTTGTGTGACAAGTATTTCCATGCTAACTCATATTAACATTTCACCCAATCTTAGAGCCTCATGACCAGTTCCCAAGAAGGAGATGAGGGGTAGTTTTTGTTCTTATTTGTTCTATCTGCAAAGCACTATGTGAGAGAGTATGCATTTTTGCCCATTCCTTCAGAAGGCAACATATTTTCATGAACAGGTTTTAGCTAGTAATCATCATGATGACAGCATCTTCCCCAAACCCTCTTTGAAAATTCCACGAACCTCATGCCGAGATAAAATTAAATATTCATTAGAATGACAACATACTAATTACAAGATCTGTATGCATGAAAATATTAAGATTACTTACCACAGATATAACAAAATTTCTGCTGAATGACTTGTATCTAACACAAAGTTTTGAAGACTTGTACATGTGAATAATATTCCATTTGTTTGATGTCTAATCTGGGATCATAATGTACAATCAATATATAAAATTATTTCTAATTTCCTGTAATGAAACAAACTTACACTATCTCCCCTTCTTTGTTTCACAATACACCTCTGCCACTATGGATGCTGTTATCCAAAGCAGCAAGCTCATTCCTAGTCCTGTAAATAGAAGGGATGTATGAAAATCTCTTGGCACAGTACATCAGGATCTGCTGATGAAAAACTTCAAGCTCAGCAGTACGTCAGCAATTATCAAAAACATATATCTTGTACCATGTGTCATTTGTAAACTGCTAACAGATTATTGCAGTCATTAAATAATCATTACTGTAGGTAAATTTTGCCTTCATAAAATCGTTACTGAAGTGTTCATTGACATGGTGTCATGAAATTGTTTATACCTAATGTGCATGTATTCTCCAACAAAGGTTCATGAAGGCATTTATTAATGCCTTGGCCATCTGAGATGATTCACTCATGTGTACTGGTCATGCGAAAGCAGGAAACTCCTCCAGATACTCTGAAAAAATGCC